GTGATACCTCTCGGTATGCACCAGTCCCAAATTTTGATGGACAGATGGGCTAGTTTCGGGGGCCAGGTTCCCCCTTGCTTGTTCAAGTAAAAGACCGTAGCCATGTTGTCCAAAGTTACCTGGACAACCTGATGAAGAAGCACGTCTTCGAACGACTGCAGGGCTTTGAAAACAGCAAGAAGTTCCAGAAAGTTGATGTGGTTCCTGGAATCCCTGGGATTCCACATCCCTTGGGTATGTAGTCCGGAGCAAATGGCTCCCCATCCAAGAAGAGATGCATCGGTACCGAGAGTCACTGTAGGGTACCGAGGCCGAAACAGAACACCGACATTCAAATTGGCTGGTTCTGTCCACCATGACAGGGACTGAAGAACGGAGGCCGGGAGCCGAATCCATTTGGTAGGTGGATCTCTCTGTAGTCAGAACATTCCGTTGAAGAATAACTGAAGAGGACGTAGTCTGAGTCTGGCATGTGGAACCATGGCAATGGATGCAGCCATGTGTCCCAAGAGACTTTGGATAGATCGGGCAGGGACAGTCCTTTCTCGTCGAATCCGAGAGATGCACCGAGCGATGACGTGCTGTCTGTCTTGAGGAAGAAAGGCTCTTGTCAACGTAGAATCCAGCCAGGCTCCGATAAAGTTGATCGTCTGTGCAGGGATAAGAGAAGACTTCTGTTGATTAATGCAAAGTCCAAGGTCTTGTAAAAGAGCACAAGTAATATCAATGGCGGACAAAAGTCCTGCCCTAGTGTCGGAAACCAACAACCAATCATCAACGTACGGATATATCTGAATTCCACATAGTCGAAGGTGTGCGCAAACAGGAGCCATACACTTTGTAAAAACTCTTGGTGCAGTGGCCAATCCAAACGGTAACACCTTGAATTCGTAGATCTCAGAGCCTACCGCGAAAAGAAGGAATCGCCTATGACGTGGATGTATTGAAATATGAAAATAGGCACCCTTCAAGTCCAGTGAGGTGAACCAATCCCCTCTCCCCAGCAACGGAAGTATATTTTGGAGCGTGGTCATCCGAAACTTCTTTGGTGTTATGAATTTACTGAGAGCTCTCAAGTCCAATATGGGTCGGAGACCCACATCTTGTTTCGGGACTGTAAAATATTTAGAATAGAATCCATGGAGTCTGTCTGACAACGATAAGCGACGAACAGATCCCTTAGTAAGGAGTTGGTGAATTTCATCCAATAGTACTGAGGAGGCCGGTGTAAAATGGATAAAATTCGATGATGGAACAATGTCAAATTCAATTCTATAGCTGTGCTGGATAAGGGATAACACCCTTCCATCAGATGTAATGGACTCCCAAATGGGAAGCCGACTATTTAGTCAGTCCCCAAGTGAGAGAGGGGAGGGTGAGGCTGGGAGGAGAGGAAAGGCTCGCACGTCCCATCAGTGCTGTCGCTGATCCGTGTCGAAAAGACGGCGGCCCTCGTGGAAACGCTGGGACGGTTGCTGTCTGCGGTGCTGCTGGCGTTGATGTGGTTGTTGTTGCCGAGGTTGGAATTGTTGGTGGTATTGCGGACGTGACCATGACCACTTACGTAGGGGCTGGGACTGCAGTTCCATACGCCGGGCCGTCATTCTGGATTCATGGATCTTTTTCAGCTTACTGTCCGTCCTCGCATTGAAGAGACCGGATCCGTCGAACGGCATCTCCTCAGTTCTCCGCTTCATCTCTTCAGGAAAATTACAATTACGCAGCCAGGCGTGTCTGCGGAGGGAAATGGCACCGACGAGCAACCTCAAATCAGAATCAACGTGGTGCCTCGCTGTGGAAAGCTGTTGCACCGCCACCTGCATAGTTTCCTTAACAAAAGTTTTTGCCAACTCACCCTGGTTGCCTGGGAAGGTGTCAATGATGGTATTTAGGCGCTGCATAAGGAAGTATTGATAGCGTCGCCTCATAATTTGAAATTCGTAATCCAAGACCCGAAGCAGTGTACACCCGGCAGGCGAAGAAGTCAACTTTTCTTCCTTCCTTATCACAAGGTGAGGTGTGTCCACGTGCTTCCCAGCCCTGAGAGGATTCCACAACAACCGAATTCGGCTTGGGGTGACGGAGGAGGAAAGGGATGTCGGTTGTGGGTGTGCCGGGAGGTCCCATGGTTGAGTCATTGCCTGCCTCAGAGTCGTTATGAGTGGTAAGGTGATGGAGGTGGCCCCTGACTACATCATAAAAACGGTCAGTGCTCGGCCCTGGTTGTTGGTGGGCTTCGATGTCGAGCGACCTCACCAGTCTGCCCAT